CGGATTACTATAATTTTTAATTACCTAAGTCTCTGGAATTGGGTTTTAGAAATTAGAAAATATTTTTATTTTAACATAAAAATATCACTACTTTTTACTTTAAAAAATATAAAAATTAATTTAAAAAATATTTTTACTTCCCACGACATCGAGTTATAGTACTGCAACCTCTACTATATGGATTGGCTGTTTGTAATTGTAATTTATGTCTGAAATTTGCAGTATCCCTTTGAAGGGCTCCGTATGAAATGAATCCTTTACCTTTAAATAAATTAAAATAAATATATTTATTTAATTTTGAATACCGTTACAATGCCGTTTATATCTTTTAATTTCATCAAAATTAAATATTTCACTCAAAACATAATTGTTGTAAATATTTAAAATAATAATTAAAATTAAAAAATTAAATTTCATTTTATTTAAAATTATTTTAAAATTTTAAAATCAATAAGGTCTGGATTTTATGGGTAATTTTATATTTTAAATAATTAATAGAAAATTAAAATAGAATATTTTAATTGGAAAATATTGAGGAATTAAAAAAAAAGAATTTTCTATACGTATATTAATATGTACAAACAATTTTTATTAAATTTGCAAGTTCAATTTTATTAAGCTTTTTCTAAAAAAATTTTTGCTTATTAAATTTTAGCAAAATATTTAATTTTTAAATTGATTAAATTGAGATAAAATAAAAATAAAATAAATATAGAAAACTTCAATTCTCCACATTTTTTAAAAAATGTCTGAGATTTACTTACAAATTTTTCTTTTTTTTAATTTAAAATATACATAAACGATTTTTTAAAGGTCTTCATTTCTTAAATTCAAAAAAAAACATTTAATTTATTTATAAAAGCGAAATCGGTTATAACTTCAAAACATTCTTTGTATTTTTAACAGGTTGTTCCTCAACTATAGAATTTTTTAAATTATTATGTGAAGCTTCATTAATAAATTTAATGTTTCTCCTTTTAAAAAAAGAGGAGGTATTCTTTTGAATTTACTTATGTAAATAATTAATTCTTTTTATTTAAAGCAACTAAATAGCTATTTAATTCCTAAAGTTTTGCAGAAGGCGGTGGATAAAATGTTCACAAAATGCTTTATAAAATTCTGAGAATTATTTATTAACCAACAACATGTAATTTCTTCTGAAAATATTTTAAATTTAATTTACAGTAGTTAAATTGAATAAATACCTCGGGTAAAGGTCGGGTAATTCGAGGGAGGGCAATAAATTATTAAAAATTAAAAAAATCTTTTTGGCTTGGAAATTTATAATTTAAATAAATGATATTTTTGCTTGTTTAATAAGTTGTGTTTTGAATAAAATATCTAACTTCACCAACTGGCGCAGTTGGTGAAAGTTGCTTTGGTTTAACTATAACCCCCACCTAAGATTTTTGTAATTTCATAAGGTTCAAATGAATAAAAAATTTTTTAACTTTTTAACTTTTTAATTTCAAATGTAAAAAACATGGACGGGGGAGATGCCCTGAGTGGGGAGATAATCAGATCTATCTTAATCCGAGGCATTGTTGACATACCAACTACTCACAAAACTTATATAAATTCCTCAACACTCCTCCTCAAAATATAAGTGTATAAATAGCCTTTGTGGTTTACTTAATTACACCAAAAAATGTGGACTATACTTACAACAGAAATTTAAATGGAAGGAGTGAACTAGTACATAACCTCGACAGGCTTGAATTAATAAAAAAATAAAATAATTCCATACAGTGGTGGGATGGCCTAATGAAAAAAGTAGAAAACTACTATAATAAATTAACAAAAGAAAATTTCTATCACTATCTGTATAAAATGCATAAATACCGAAATAATAATTATTATTATTTAATATTTTTTGCTTTATAAAATTTTAGAAACAATTATTAATAATTTATATTTAATAAAAAATAAATATATTTTATGTTTTTAATATGGTAAAGTGAATTTTAACAAAGGAAATAAGAATTAATTGAATAATTTAAAGAATTTTTAAAATAAAAGTCAAAGAAAAAGAGTAAAAATTTATTTTTAAATTTTAAATACAAATTATCCAAATATTCTTTTGATTTTTTATTCACTATATGTAAGGTAAGCGAGTTGACTGAACTTCAATCTTTAAATCTCTAAAAATTTTAATTATTTAATTAATTAATTATTTATTTATTCTACCTTCGACAATCAGTTATAATTTCACAACCTCTTGTATAGTTTCTAACTGGCTCTTCCTGGGTTTTATAATTTTCTCTATCATTTTTTAGAGCATCATAAGAGATGTGTTTTTCTTTAAAAATAATTATTAGAAATTAAAATAGGTAAAAGAATTTTTTGGCTTGCAAATTTAATAATTTACTTAAATAATATTTTTGTTTGTTTAATTAAATTTTTCACTAAAATTTTTTACTAAAATATATTCCGTTAAATATAGACTGACAACAGAATGTTAAATTAAGAGGAAACTATTAACTTAAAGAAAAATTTTACTTAACAATGAAGGTATCGCTACAAGAGCGAATTCACTTCAGTTAGCTATAAAAAAAATTCATCCAAGGAGAGTTGTAAAATAATTTAAATAAATATTTATTAAATACCGTTACAATGACGTTTATATCTTGTAATTTCATCAAAATTAAATATTTCACTCAAAACATAATTGTCGTGAATATTTAGAATAATAATTAAAATTAAAAAATTAAATTTCATTTTATTTAAAAATAAATATTAATTATTTATTTTATTTTTATTTAAAGGAAAATTTAAGGAATTTTAATTTAATTTAATTAAGACGAATATATTATTGATGGAATTTAGTTACTGATTGGGTTTTTCTTTTTTTGCCGACAGTTTGGCTTGAATATAAAAATAAATTAAACGAGAATCTTTTTTAAATGAATTAATTTAATTTAAATTTAAAATTTGCGTAAAACTCTTTTTTGCAAAAATAAAAAAAATTTTATTTTAAGATGAACAAACAATTTTTTAAATTTTATAAGGTTGGAGTTATACATATATGTATATTTATTTATAATTCACACATTTAAATGTCTAATTTGGAAATTAAATAATAATTGTACCGACGTTTTTTATAATTTTTTAAAAATATTGGAAAAGAGTAAAAGAAAAAAAATTCAGAAAAACTTTAATTAAATATTAAAAAAGGCTAGTTTCTTCATTTTTCAAAAATTTAATCAATAATTTATTTTTAAAATCAATTACCCTGCCCCTCGAATAATTACCCCCTCCAGCATTATTTTTAAAATAATTAACCAATAATTTTTTTACTAAATTCTACAGACAAATGAAATTTTAATTAAAAATATATATAAAATTATTTAATTGTGAAAATAAATTCACAAAAAAAATTTTTAATATATGTAGGTCGGTAGCAGAGGTCCGCCGAAAGTGTTTTTAAAAAGCGAAAGGCGAAACTCGCAATTAGGTAGTTAACAATTTAGGTAGTTAACTTCTAATTTAAATTTTTCCAATAAAATAATATTTTTAACCAAATACATACTAAATAAATACTACAAATTTAGTGATAAAAATTTGGAATTTTAAAATATAAATTTTTACAGAAATGTGCCGAACTGGCACAATTTTGCCTCAAAATTTATTTTATTTAATTTCAATTTTATTTATCGATTCCACCCATTCCATTTATCTCTTATTTTCACCTAACTTTGTGTTTTGTACCGCCCTTTTTCTTCTCTATTTAACTATTTGGCTTTTATGTGAAAAGCCAGTTTCTGAACTTCATTTTTAACTACCAGTTGTGACAACCCCCTCAGCTTCCTACCAGCCTAGCTTTTGTTTTTCTCCCCATATATTTTCTCCCCTTTTTTATATTTGGAATTTAATTAATTTAAATAAATTTTTTCTTCTTTAAATATTTTAAGTGTTTGAGTCTAGGGGTCTTGAGATACAAATTGCCATACTCGGCACATAAAAATTGGAGCCCCGTACGGGTCTCCAATTTTTATGTGCCGAGTATGGCAATTTGTATCTCAAGACCCGTAGACTCAAACACAAAGAACTTATTTAAAAAGAAAAATATTTACTTAAATTCCAATATATTAAAAATAAGGAGAAGCAATAAAAGGGGGCTGGCAGCTAGTAAAAACAGTTCAGAAACTGGTAGTTAAAACTGGGGGCTCAAAAGCTGGGGATAGTCAAAACTGACTTTTCACATAAAAGTCAAATAGTTAAATAGAGGAGAAATAGGGCGGTACAAACAAAGTTAGGTGAAAATGAGAGATAAATGGAATGGGCGGAATCGATAAATAAAATTAAAAATAAATAAAATAAATTAAATTTTGAGGCAAAATTGTGCCTGTTCGGCACAAGAAATTAATTCAATAAAATTTTTATGTTTAATTTAAATTTTATTCAATCCACAATTTTGTTTTCAGATTTAGTTAATCAAAGTTTGGTTTACAAAACTTTTTTTTTCAAAAAACTTTTTTTCTTCGACTTTCCCTAAAAATAAAATTAATTTTAAACAAAATATTTATTTATTTACAAACCTTTTTTTGGGATTTTTTCTTTTTTAAATTTTTTACTTTAAATGTATCTTTTTTACAGATATTTTCTTTTTTACATTTAATAGGTTCAATTTCTCCATCAAATAAATCTTTTCCATTTTTCTCTAATTTTATTTTATATTTCTCATTTTTATCAATTAAAGTTTTACATTTATAAATTTTTTTATTTTCTCGAAATTCCTCTTCACATTTCGAATTAGTAATTGAATTTTGCCGGGTTTTTAAATAATTCACTTTATTTATTTATTAAAAATTAACAAAATTGAGGTTTAGTTTGGAAAACTTTTAGTTTTGAATAGATCTACTACATACATAGATATGTCCATCAGGAACGGGACCTGAAACATTCATCAATGTTTCGAGTCGAGAAAAGTCCAGATTTCGAATAACTATACTCATCTCTGATATCCTTATTATTTTTGATTTTTCCCCATCCTTAAAAGTTTAAAAAAATAAAAACAAACTGAAAAATGGTTGTTCTACACGGTGAATATGTTGAATTTTTAAAAGAGAATTTAAAGGAGGGCCTTTTGGAGTAACAAAACATTTTGAAGCAAAACAAGGTGAAATAAGCACAAATAAACAAAATAGTTTATTTAAAATTGAAGGTTTACATTCTAATAAATCATTCTCATTTTCAATTTCTTCTCCTCCTCCTTTTTCTTCTTCAGAAATTTCTAAAAAATTTGAAAGTTTTTCCTTAAAAGTCTCAATTTCTTTTTCTTTTTCTTCAGAAATTTCTAAGGAATTTGAAAAACTTTCCTTAAAAAATTTTTTAAATTAAAAATAATTATTTTTGAAGAAACCTTTGGATCGTAAAAGGTTTCTTCTTCTTCTTCTTCAATTTCACTTTTTTTATTAAATAATTTTTGTGTTAAAAGTTTGTTATAGGGAATACTACTAATATTCTTCTCAGATTGTAACGAACAATCTAAAAATTATTTATTTTTTATTTTTCATTCCACAATTATCAATCAAACCTTTTAATCCAAACAAAATAATAAATAATAAAAAATAATTTAACATTTAAATTTATTTATTTAAAAAAATATTTAAATTAAATTTAAATAATAAATCAATGTCTGGTTAGATAAATCTAATAAAAATAAAAGTAAATAAATGCACTTAAGTATTTTTTGACAGTCTAGACAATTTTAAATTATTTCTTTTTTATTTCGAAATAAATGAATATTTATTTAAATTTAAAGAAAATTTTAAAAAATATATTTTTTAATTAAAGAATTAATAATATTTAATATTTATTTCTTAAATTTAAATTAATTGAAAATTTTATTTAATAAATTTTTAAAATCAAAGATTAAAATGTGATTTTTTATTGAATTTTTTTAAATTAGACATTTAGATGGAAAAGTCGATTTAAACTATAAAATTAAAAAAGATTAAATAAAAATTAAAATCCCTTTACTTTTTAACACAGAAAATAAATTGTTATTTATTAAAGAAGGGGAAAATTGGAACGTTTATGGAAATTCCTTGGAGATCCAAAATCGAAATAAAAATTGCTTAGAAGCCGCAAACGAAATTTTTGTAATTTCAGAAGAACAAAACTTCTTTCTAGCTATAAATTAAAAAATCCAATTTAGAAGTTTTTCCAGAAAATTATATTCTCAAATGAAATTTTTCTTAAAATTTAACAAAGCAACTACATAAAATTTTATTTTTAATTGGGAATTTTAATTAGGGAAAGGGCATTTAAATTTAAAAAAAACAAAAATGTATTTAAATGTACCAGATGTGAAAAAAATATAAATATAAAAACCCTTTATATTTACATAAATATAAAGGGCAAATAAAGTGCAAATTTTTTTATGAAATACCCGCTTTAAAGTCTGCCAATTAAGAAATTAAAAATATTAAGCGGCAACTCTTTTTGATTTAATTATAAACTTTCATTTTTTAATAAAATATAAAACACAAAATAAATTTAAATACTTGAGTAAAAACTAAATAATAATCATTTAAAATTTTTTAAATAAAAATAGACAAATAAGCAAAAACTCAAGGAAAAGTATCCATCAGTGGATTTAAAATTTAAAATAATGATGTTAAAATATAATTTGTTGGTCATTTTCTTTCTTTGTGTTTTAGCAGGTATGTTTTTATTTTAGAATTTTAATTAGGGAAAACACCAAAAAGGACTCCGAATGTTTATTTCCGTACGGGTGAAAATATGTTCGGTGTGCGGAAAATATGATCAAAATTTTTCGGTCGAATTAATTGTCTTGAATTTTTAGGGCCTTCGCGGAATTTTCGAATTTTTGGTGTTTTTTAATTAACTTTGCACGATAGGCGAAAAACGATAGGCGAAATGAGGAATTTTAATTTAAAAAACAAAAACGGAATACAAAACACCAAAAAAAGCGAAAGTGACAAGCACATCCTGACATATACATACATGATCTTAATATGTAAATTGTAAATTAAAAATATATACCTATTTAGAAATATATTCTGGAAAACCAAAAAATTTTTCGGAAGGTAAAGACAAAACAAATAAAAAAGTTTTTGAATCAAGGATTGAAATGGGAGAATCTTCTTCTTCTTCATCATCAAATAATTTGTTTAATTTAAATTCAATTTCAAAATCTGTTTGTGGATTTGTTGTAAATTTTAAAGAAAAAATAAAAATAAAATGTCAAAATATTTTGGAAAAGAAACTTTTACCAATTAAATATTTAAAAGGAGCAATGTTTTGTATTTTAATTATTACTGCTCCCTGTCCTGTTGAAACTATTTATTTAAAACCATTACAAAAGAACATGACACAATATGGAATGTTACAAAGTTTGTAACTATCTAAGTTTGTAACTATCTGTAAATCGTGTCGAACCCGGAATTCGAATTTCGACCATTTTGAAAAATTTAGACCTTTCATAATAAAAATTTGACTTTGTGCCCGACTGATAGAGATTTTGAAGAGCTTTCGAATGATATATTACACTAAATATTATCATCACATATACTTAAGAAAATTTGACTATCGGTGATTTCGAGTATTTTGATATTTTTGATCAGAACTCTCTGAATACCTAACCAAAAATTCTCAAACGTTGGGATCCTTTAGAACATACTCTATCAGATGATTCGTAATAAAAATAAAAAAATATTTTCTAAATACTTTATTTTAAAAATCAAAAAAATCCGAATTAAAAAAGCGACACTAATTATGACCCGACCTAATAATTATGTAATAAAGTTACCATAGGGGAGGTAACTTATTTAAAATTCATTTTTTGATAGGGGGTCAGTTGTTTATCTCTGAATCTCAAAAATTTAGATAAACTTTTAAAATCTTTTAATTCCTTTTAGATGAATTTGGTTATGAAAGAGATCTTTTTATAGAATTTCCAGAATTATATCTGGGACGTGAACAAAAACTTGATAAAATAGGCTGTGAAGAAATAGAGGTAGATGGAGTAATTTATAATGAATGCAAATACACTGCGGTGCATATGTTTATGCACACTTGTTTTTTGTTCATAAGTTTATGCACACTTATTCAAAAAATAAGTTCTATATAGCAATCGAAAGCTCTATTTGTATCTCAGTTGACATGTTTCTGCATTTTTCGAAATTCTGATATTTTCGAAAAATTTTCGACCGGTCTATTAGGTACTACATTTTCAACTTTTCGGAAAAATTTTTTTGAAGTCTGTAAAAAATATATGTGATTCTTCTCCAGATTCTACACACAATACAAAAAATTCATCCAAATCGGTCGAGATTCGACCGAGTTATGAATTTTTGAAAATCGAAAAAATACCATATTTTTGCCATTTTTCGTCAAAAAATCGCGTTTTTTCGATTTTCAAAAAATCATATCTCCGTTCCGGAAAAAGATATTTCTAAGCGGTTTTGTGGTAAATACTCACAAAAATATGCTTTATCAAATGGGCTTGTTAAATTTTTTCCGAAAAATTTTTCCGAGGATATGGGATTTGGTATATCCGGTAGATCCGGATTATCTCGGTCAATTTTCATTTTCATGAAAAATGCAGAAACATGTCAACTGAGATACAGATAGAGCTTTCGATTGCTATATAGAACGTATTTTTTGAATAAGATTGCATAAAATTATGAACAAAAAACTAGTGTGCATAAACATATGCACCGCAGTGTATGAATTTGAATTATCTGATGATGAAACTGAGATTGATTTTAAAAATAATAAAGGGGAAATAATTAATTTAGGAAATTTGAAAAAAGATTTTGAATGTAAAGAAAATGAAGAAAATTGTGAAAAAACATATAAATATGTTGAGAATGATGGTGTTGATAAATATGAGGTTAAATTTGAAAAGAAAAATAACAAAAAAGATAAGCAGCCTGTAAAGGGTGCTTATAAAACATATAAAAAAATTTAAATAAAATAAGTATAAGAAAAAAAATGATTTTTAAATAATTTAAAAGAAATTTAAATTAAAAGCCAAAAATAAAGAAAAATTTAAATTACCTACTATGAAAACTATTTGTGTGTTTATAAAATCTTTTGTTTAATGTAATTGTATAAATTTAGTTTTATTTTATTGAGGAAATAAATTAATTTTTTAATCAGTAAAATAATTAATTTGTCATTACTTTAAAGGGTCCTGGTCGACCGACCGTTATTCTTGCTAACTGGCACTTATGAGTTAAATATTCTGTTGGTCACACTGCACCCCAGAAAATAACGATTTTTAGGTAACAGCCATCTTTCTTGCCGATCAACAAGTGTTGAAATTTTTAATTTTTTAATTTTATGTGCAAATGTTATGCCAAACTCTTCAATAATTAATAAACAAAAATATTAAATAAATAATTTATTTATTTAAAAAATTATTTTTATTTTTTATCTTAAGCTAAAAATGTCCTTTTTATTATTAAAAAAAAGGCGGGTTAATTTATTTTAGAATGCACTTTTAATTTTTACATGTATTATCTATGCATATCGAAAAATATTCATTTAGATTCGAAGAATAATTTAAAAATATGTCTGAAAAATATTCTTTTATTTTTATTGGCATCTAGCGGAAAACGCTGGCGGAAAAAACGCCGGCGTTTTTTCTCTCTCATTTCTCCATACTACGATGCATAAGCGATTTAAATTCTAATAAGTGAATCATCCTTTCGATAAAATTAAAGTTGTTTAAAATATAAAAATAACTTTTGCTTAATTATTTGTATATCTAATTTTGTTTGTTTTGTCATAGTTGTCGGTTTATGGAAATTCCTTGGAGAATCAAAATCGAAATATAAATTGTTTAAAAGCCGAAGACGAAATTTTGGTAATTTCAGAAGAACAAAACTTGGTAATTCAGAAGAACAAAATTTTTACAGAGAAAAAAACTCCCAATGAATCCCAAATGAAATTTTTCTTAAAATTTAACAAAGCAAACTACATAAAATTTTATTATTAATTGGGAATTTTAAGTAGGGAAAGGGCATTTAAATTAAAAACAAAAATGTATTTACATAAATAAAAAGGGCAAATAAAGGGCAAATTTTTATGAAATAGCCGCCTTTAAAGTCTGTCAATTAGGAAATTAAAAACATTAAGCGGCAAATCCTTTTAATTTAGTTAATTATAAACTTTCATTTTTTAATAAACTATAAAACTCAAAATAAATTTAAATACTAATAGTAAAAACAAAATATTAATCATTTAAAATTTTTTTAATAAAAATAGACAAATAAGCAAAAACTCAAGGAAAAGTATCCATCAGTGGATTTATATTCTACATAAAAATTTAAAATAATGATGTTAAAATATAATTTTTTGGTCATTTTATTTCTTTGTGTTTTAGCAGGTATGTTTGTATGTTAGAATCGTACTCCGAATGTCTATTTCCATGTAGATAAAGATATGTTCGGGGTGCTTAATAAATCGTAAATTAAAAATATATATTTAGAATTATATTCTGGAAAACCAAAAAATACTTTGGAAGGGAAAGAAGAAACAAATAAAAATGTTTCTGAAGAATTACCAATATCAACAATGAATGAAGGGTTTAAAATGGAAGCCTCCTCATCAAATAATTTGTTTAATATAAATTCAATTTCAACATCTGTTTGTGGATTTGCCGGAAATTTTAAAGAAAAAATTAAAATAAAATGTCAAAATATTTTGGAAAAGAAACTTTTACCAATTAAATATTTAAAAGGGGCAATGTTTTGTATTTTAATTATTACTGCTCCCTATCCTGTTGAAACTATTTATTTAAAACCAAAATATAATAATTTAACTAAACACGAGAAGCCAACTCTTATAGAACTTTTAAAATGTTTTTTTTAATTTTTAGACAAATAATTTTATTAATAATTAAAAGCTTTTAATATTTTGTAAAATCTGACGAAATCTAGTATTTAAAGAAGAGGAATTTGGATTTATTTATAATTTTTTAATTAAAAAAATTAATTTATTTAATTTAAATAATTATTTATATTTTTAGTTTATCAAATTAATATGAATCCAAATTTGGACAACCAATTACCGAAAATTAAGGAAGCAAAAGAATGTAGAAATATAAAAATTAAAGGTGGAAATTATTACGAATGTTTTTATGAAATTGAATTAATTGATGATAATTATGAAATTAATTTTGAAGAGAAAAATGGGGAAATAATTAAGGGAAATTTAGAAAAAAATTGTAAAGAAGGGGAAGGAAATGAAGAAAAAAATTGTGAAAAAACATTTAAATATGTTAATAATTATGAAGATTAAAAATTAAATTTGAGAAGAAAAATAATAAAAAATCTGAAAAGAAAGAAAAATTAAAATAAAGATTTTACAAATTTTAGAGAAATGTTTTGACGATAATTGATAGAATTTAAATTTAAATTAATTTTTATTTAATATTTATTAGTAAAATTTATATAGTATTCTTCTTTCTCAATTATTTAAATTAATTTTTTTATATTTTTCTTTAAATTACTTTCCTTGATCATTCGTCTTTGGAGGAGTATAAGGATTAGCTTGTTCCATGCTATGGCTGAGATATCCAGGTATTCCGTCCTTTTTCAAAGCATCATTCGAGATATATCCTTTAAAAATAATTTTTAATTTTAAAAATTTCTTTAAACAAATTTAGAATAAAATTAATTTAAAATGATTCTCTCGATTTCAAAAAATATATCAAAGGAGCCTAGAAACAGAATTTACATTTTTTGGAAGGATTTAATAAAATATATATCTTACCACAGTTTCGTTTATATCTTCCTTTAATAATTTCAAAATTAAATATTTTACTTTCATTTAATTGAAAAATTAAAGAAAAAAATATAAAAATATAAAATAATTTAAATAATTTCATTTTTAATTTTAAATAAATTTTTAAAAATTAATTTTAATTATTAAATTTAAATAAAATATTTATTCATATACATTTTCATTTAAATTTAAAAATTAACTCCTTTAATTGGTTTACTCATTAATTAATTTATTTAAACATTTTTTTCTACGGTTAAAAAAAAATTTTTTAATATTCTTAAATTATGTTTTAATAATTTTTATAAATTTATTTTAAAATTATATATTAGCACATAAGGCTTATTTAAAAATTTAAAAAAAAATTCTTTAATAATTTTACTAAATTATATTTTTAAAAACGAAGATATAGTATTCCGGTACGAAAAATTTTTTCGTCCGTATTCGGTAAAACTCTAGTACGGTGTAGTCTGATCTCTACAAATATTTTGGTATCCCATAAAATTTTATGATATATTATAGTAGTTATCGTTTTAACCGAATTACTGATAAACCGAAATGAAATTTTCGGCGACATCCCTATTATTATATATGTAAAATCAAAGCAGAAGCTATTTTTATTTTAAAAATAATAAAAATAAAAATTTTTTTATCTTTCCTTTTTTAAATTATTCAATAAATGTGCCGGAAGTTTATATTTAATATTAAAGTAATTAAAAGGTAAGGAAGGTCATAGAACGGTTAAACGTCTAATTTAAACGAATCAGCAAAAAAAGAAAAAATTTCTAGAAAATAATTATTTATTAATTAATTACACAAATTTTTATTGAGACGAGAGAACTTTCAAAATAAAAAGTATCATCATTCTAAATATATTTACCTAATTCTTTATAATATTTAATTCCAAAATGTCAATTAAAATAAAATATTTTTTAAACAAAATAATTTTCTTTTTCTTTTTATTTTTTAATTTTGTTAAAAATTCAAAATATAACAACCAAGAATATTTAGTTTCTGAAAAAGAAAATAATTTTTGTGAAAATAATTGGGAATATTGGCCAGAAAGACATTTATGCATTAAAATATTTAATGAAAAAATTGGTTGGAATGTTGCAGAAATTAATTGTTTATATAATCAGGGACATCAAATATCTGTTAAAAATATAAAAGAAAATAAATATTTGGAAAGTTTGTAAATAATTAATATTTAATTAAATAAAAAAAGGGAGGGGGAGAGGGAAGGGAAGGGAAGGGAGGAGAGAAAAGAGGCTAATTTAATTTTTAATAAAATTTTTTGTTTAAAAAAGTCTAAAAGAATTTTTTTATTTTTTCTTAACTTTTTATCTAAAATTAAATAATTTAAAAGATATTGCGAGAAGAGTTGGTGGATTGATATGGCTAGGTGCAGCACAATTTGGGCATTTAAATAATTATATGTGGACAGACGGAACTCCATTTTATTTTACTTTCTGGCAAAATGGTTAGAAGAAGAATTTAAATATATTTTTGTTTCTAAAAGATTTATTTAAGGTATTCAACCTTTGTTTAATCCTGGAAAGAAATGCATTAAAATGAATAGTCTGACTGGTGAGTGGATTCAAAGGTTGTTTTAATAAATAATTTTTTTTAATAAATTTTATTTAGTTGTTGCCGTGTTGCAGCCCCTTTTGTTTGTCAAAAACCTGCAATTAAAATAGACAAAAAACATTTATTAAGAAATGAAGAAAAAAAAGAAGAATTTATTCAACGTTAATTTTATTTAAAGAAAAAATTATTATTTATATATTTACAATTTTTATATTAAAATTTGTTAATTTTAAAAATTTTGTTAATTTTAACGAGAAACTAAAAAATTTATTTAATTGTTTTTGCTCAATTTTTGAGGAATTTGGCTAGAAAATATTCGTATAAAAATTGTAGAGAATATACATATTTAATTAAGAGTAGTCTCTCCAAAGTTAAAAATTTAAATTAATATTTACCTATTTATTTTCTTTTTTATTCAAAAAATATTATTTTTTTGTTTGAAAATTAAAAAATAATTAAATTACCCAATATTTTAATAAAATAGCTCTATTGGGTATAATTAAATTTTCTGAAAAGCTTTGCTTTTATTATATAAATATTGTAAAATGCTGAGAAAAAAAAGAAAATTAAATTAATTTTGGGCAATTGGTATAAAATAAAAATAAATTTTTTATTTTTATTTAAATCTTCTTTTCAAAATTTTTTTTAAATGCCAACAGATTCGAAAAAACCTTTAACAGAACAACAAAAAATAAAAGCTTTAACTAGAGCTGAAAGAAGACGATTACGAAGGTATTATTTAAATGTATTTACCTATTTTATTTGAATGTTTCAAAATTTTAATTTTTATTTTAGAAAAAAGGAAAGGGTAGTTAAAATAATCAAAATTTTGAGTGTCTAATCTATTAAAAGAAAAATAATTATGTAAAAATGCTATATGTATTCCCTTCACTATCCATTCACTATTTTAAATAATTTAGAATTATTCGATAATTTAAATTTATTTAAACAAAAAATATTTAAATAGATCAACACCAAAATATCGTAGTTTACATGCAAGTCGAGAACGTATACGTGTCGAAGCATTTAACAAAGCATTCCAACAAGTTAGAGAACTTTTACCGACAAAAACTGCTTGTAATAATGGAAAAAATGTGCAAACAAAACAACAAAGAAAAATGTCAAAAATTGAAACATTACGTTCTGCTATTGAATATTTACGTTATTTGGAATTTATGTTAATTAATTAATTTAGATATTTAATATGTAAATCATCTAAAAATATCAAAGAATTCTTAATAAAAGAAAAATTTTTTTTAATTTTCGTTTGACCTTAAAATATTGCAAATATCCTAATAGAACCTCAAATTAAATAAAGACTCAATTAATACATATTTTATTTTTTCAAAATAAAAACAAAAAAAAATAATAATTTAAAAATAAAAAAACATAAATGTAAATATATTTTCATTATTCTAAATAATACAAATAATTATTATGAAAGATTATGAGTATTTTTTATAATTAAATAATTAATTTCAATCAAGTGAATTTTCGCATGCAGATTTTTTTCCTCCAATAACTGCTGAAGAACGTCGGAGAAAAGCAAAGGCACCACTTGTAATTTTTTTATTTTCTAAGAAAAATAAAAATATATTTTTTAATAAAAAAATTTGTTTTAGAAATTAAGTGGTAAAACTTCTCTTTAAAATTTATTGAAAAAAGTTTTTAATTATTATTTCTCCAAAATTTACTCTCTACTCACTAAATGTTCCTCCAATTCCACCACTGCGTACAGAAATATTATCTTCAAAGATATTTGAATTCCCATTTTGATTATTTCGACAATTATTATTTGGACTATTTTCTAAATCTTCCTCTTCAACAATAATTTTTTCTTCTTCATCAGCCTCATCCCCAATTTTTATTTGACTTGCAAATTGTTGTTGTTGTTCTACTATTTTTTGTCCATTCTCTTCATTTTTTTGTTTATTATTAGAAGAATGATAATAATTTGTATGTTTATTGTCATCATTAATTTTACGTGGATCTAATGTTGCGCCTATAAAAAATATATAATTAATTGATAAGAGAAGACCAGAGAGAGTAATTTCCCTGAATTCCCGTCTAAATTTAATTCTAATTTTTATTAATTTTTACTTTTAATCATTTTTTGGTTGTCATTTGGCACTTTGAAAGTATTAGCAACATTTCCACTAAATTCACTAGGCTTTGGCCTTGATTCTAATGTCATACTTCTCGAACTAGACATTACATCTGCAGTTGTAGAGGAATAAGGAAGTCGCTTTGATTGAGAATTTCCAAGTGGTTCACTTGTACTCTAAAAATTAAGAAATGAATAAACAAAAAATAATTGTTTTTTCAAACCGGTCTAAAGGCAAGCAATTGATCAGCTGGATCTAACTTTGCTCTAAAATTAATTTTATCAACCCATTCAAGAGCTTTTAGCTGGTCAGGTGCAGCAAAAAGGAATTCAGCTCCATCAGCAGTATTTAATCTAATAAATGATAAAATATTCTTTAGAAAAAGGTTAAAATAAATAAATGAATTTGTGGACGTGAGATAAATTTTGATATAAAGTTAGGGTTTTTGAAAGAATTCACATGTCCTTGGAAAATCCAGCTTTAAAGATAAGGAGGAGGAATGATCGTTGCTATAAAGGCCTGTGGAAATTAAGCCGGGAAATTACCCCAAAATAATTTAAAAAATTTTTTACTTGAAAACAAAACGTTTTTTAATATATTCAGGATTAAGTGCAGAATTCGATCCATGTAATGCCAAAGGTGCTGCAGCTGCCATATTTTCCATAAAATGTTGTTCATCCTTAAAAAAGCAAAGAAGTTGCCCACACAAAATAGAATAATAGCTCTTCCAAGAACGAAAAGTTGCACGTTTTCCACCTGCTTGTAATTCTTGTTTTCGATCCAAATAACTGAAAAAAACTAAAACAAATGAAAAATATATCCTTCTTTTTACCCGTGAATATCAACAGTTCTTAAATCATCCCATTGACGACTTCTTCGAATACTTTGTGTTCTACGTGTTGTAAATCCAGGTGTTCGACCTGTGGAAGGTACTCGCATACCTACAGGGAAAGGAGCGGATGGTGTTAAATTTTGTTGTTGTTGTGTAGATGATGGCTGCGAGATTTCGATAGAAAGACGAGAGGAAGCAACTGGTGGCTAAATAAATGGAAGGAAATTAAAGTGTTAAAGTTAAATTCACCACAATATTTTGCTGTCCTTCAACTACAACTACTGATGTAGAAGAAGATGCTGAGGAAGTAGCACCTACAGCAGCTCTTTGCCTGGCTCTTGGGAGTGTTTGAGAGGAATTAAATGCAGTAGTTGCTAAAGACTGGACAGGCTCTAATTGTTGTAATTGTCCCAACATTTGAGCACCAGAATGTGCAGAAGTTGAAGAACGAATTGACTGCCCCGTAGTTGAATGACGCCCAATTCCTCCATTAGAATTTCCCATTAATGAAATTTCCTAAAAACAAATTACTAAAATTAATTCTACTAAAACTACCTGTGTTTTACGTCGTTCTCTCTCTTGTCTTTTTTCCTGTAGCATTTTCTTCTTTTCTAATGTTCTAATTGGTTGTGTTTCCCTTCGGTTTTGTTGTTGTTGTTGAAGTTGAGCATTTACAGCAACAATTCTTTCACGGTCCTCTTGTCCCTTAAGACGTTCCCAATTTTGTTCAAGTCGAGTGAGGCGTTTCAAAGCTTGAAATTGAGGACTTTGGGCATCGAGGGTGGCAAGAAAATCATCAAATTGCTGAAATTGTGAGCAAAAATAATTACAAATTTTAATTCTTTCTCAAACTCTAATTTGATTTTCAACAGCTTCTAGTCCATCCTGAACTAATCCAGTCCAATCCTTAGCAAGCAATTGCTCTCTTTCTGTTAACCAACGTTCCAATTCAGATGCAGAGGACAACCAACGTTGAAGATCAGCATTATCCTCATAGATCTAATAAAAATCACAATGAGAATATATTCGATAATTCTCACTTGTTGTCTCCGATGCCAAGTTTTTAACAAATCAGAGAAAACTTCGTCTAAAGTAGTTATACGAGAACGAATTTCATTCACCAAAGCATTCTGCCCTTGTGATAATAATTGTTCTCCTTTTTGTATAAAATGAAGTTTTTCTGATTCTTTTGAAGAAATTTCACGCCGAAACTCGGCATGTCTAGCATCGAGAGCCTGAAAAATAATTTGTTGAATTAAACATACAAAGGCAACTTTTTTACCTCACATCCAGCTATTTCTTTAGGTAAAAGTTCCCCAGTTATTGAAGCATGCATTTGACGAGCCCAAACCATTAATTCACGAAATTCCTAAGAAAAATTATAATTTTCTTCATTAAACTTTAATTTGCCTGAAAGTATTGATGATTAGCTTGTGATTGTGCTAATCTTTCTGCTTGACGATCAGCTCCTTCTCTTACATCCTTCAATTGTTCAATAAGTTCTCCACGACGGACTTCTAAATGCTCAGAAGTGCGGGGAAATATTTCTATAATTCGATCAGCTTCGGCACAGAGTTCCAAAACCTTAAAGGAGTGAAATTAATTTTTGGGTAATTTTTTATGTTAAAATGAAATTTAAAAAAATTACTTGACGACTCAAAACATCCAAGGAATGCAGAAATTCATTATTATGTCTTTCTCTTTGTCCAAACATTTGATCTAAATCAATTCCTCCAAATTGTTCTTCACTTTGAGCAAGCAAATAAGCTTCCTTTTCAGCTAACCTTTCTAATAATTCATCTGCTTTTTGGTCAAATAAATGAATATTTTTTCCATCAATTAATGCTTGCTTAAAGAATAAAATAAGTAAATAAAGTGATCAGGAAATATTTTGTTAAGTATTTAAAATGATTTTCTTTAAAAAAAACACCTGTCGTTCATTAGCAGCTTCATTAACTTCATGCCAAAGTTGTTGAACATCTTGACCCTTTGCACGAATTGAACCAGCATTTGGGTGTTTTTCGCGGAGTAGTTCTTCTGAAAATTACTTTTTAAAATTAAATTTCTTCTAAATTTGAATTAGAATTTAAATGGAAGGAAAGGAAAATTCTATTTTTATTTAAAAATATTTCAGATTTTTTGCTGACATTTTTTCTTAAAAATTTTTTTGTTTACCTTTCAATGTCAATACTTGTGCCACTCTCTCACCAGCAGAAGCCAATTCCCTCACAACTTCATGAAATTGTTGTGCAAGTAATTCACATTCTTCCAAATCTTGCCCATAATCTTCACGTTCAGCAAGTGATAATCTTTCGCGTAACCATTGAAGAAGCTCATCAGCTCTACGAACAAAACCAAAATAACGAATTGCATTTGCTTAAAAATTAATTTTATTCGGAAATTCAAAGGAAAAACTTTCCCTACTTGTTTGTGTCTTTCTCTGTTGACATTGCAACGAAAGTTGAGAAAATAATTCGAGTAATTGCCCATATCTTGTTTGTAAACCAGTTAAATCAAAATGATCAGCAGAAACCATTCTTTCACATTTCTCTCCAAGTTTTTTAAGTTGGTCTTCGAATGTTGATATTTCTTTTTCAAGAGCCAAACAACGACGTAATTGTGCCTCTGCTTGTCTACCAGATTCGTGCTGATGAGAAGCTAATTGAATATTTGTTGGAGGAATTAATCTGAAATGCATGTTTTGATAAATATTCATAGAGTCAAGATTTTTTTCTGAAATTTTCAAGTCGAATCTCGAATTGAAAACTATTAGGAGATTTCGAAATCGGTCCTTCGAATACAATGTTCGAGAAGATTATATTTAAATGATTAATCTATTCCATTGCAAATTCAAACTTTTCCCCACCTTTCCTTCATCCAATGTTCAGCTTCTGCAGCTTCAGCATAAAATTCTTGAGAAAGAAGAGATTCGTTTAAACGTTGTTCTCTCACAGAAGCTAAAGCACGGAAGAGTGTAATCAAATCATGTAATTTGTCTAATCTTTCAGTTAATTCCCCAGATTTAAGACCTTTTAGCTTTTTCTCTTTTTTATTTTCTTCATTTAAATTATTATTCTTCATTTCTACCAAAAGCATTTTTTCACCAGTTGTTATTAATTGACCAAAGGTTGGTTGACGAACAGAAAATTCTTTTTCAAGAATCTGATGTTTTTGTAGAAGAGATTGTGCCGAATGGAGAGAACGGCCATAATCAGAACTTTCTAATAATCTAACGCGAGATTCAAGCCACTCAATTTGTTCATCTGTTTGATCAGCCCAATGATAAAAACTTACTGCTTCTGACTAAAATAAATGTTTTTTCAATTAAATAAATGTAAAAACATTCAAGGAATTACCAAATTCTGAGATCTAATTTGACATGGTTCGTCTACAGAATTCCAACGGCCTCGAAGTGCTTCTGCTCTCTCATATAAAATCTGTCTGTTTGTCCCCAAATCTTCACCAGACTTTTCCATTAATTTATATGCTTCTTGGAATAATTCTTCTATTAATAACCCTTTTGCACGAATTTCCGTTCGAAGATTTTCAAATTGCTCTAATAATTGTTCAGCACTGCTGCAATCTATCCCGTGATCCTCTGAGCTTATTATAGCCTCAACTCGTTCCAACCAACATTCCGATTCAGAAATACGACGCCCTAATTGATAACTCTCATAGGCACTTCTCAATCGGTCAGTCTGTAAATAGTTTTTAAATCAATTAACTCAGTTGTCAGTATAAGGAAAACTTTCATTGTCTTGATAATGTTACTAATATTATATTAATAAATTATATTTCCTTCCCTACCTTCTCCGCAGATTTTTCCAAAAGTTCAGTCCATCCATTATTTAATTCTTCAAGTTGGGCACGTACTCTTTCTTCACTCTCTTCTTTATCTCCAATATTAGAATCTTTACCAAATTCTTCATTCAACAGACATTGCCCACGTTTTTGTAAACGCCCAATTCTCTCTTCACTAGCTCTTAATTCAGCATCAAATGCCAAATGCTTCTTCAATTTCAGACGTAAAGCCGTAGCATCCAAATAACCATCATCCATAGCAAGTTGTAGTTTTGCATTCATCCAAGTTATTAATTCAGCACATTCACGCAAAAATTGTGCCAAGTGTTTGTTAGCATTTAAATTACTTAAATTATTAATTAAAATTTTATTTTTTTAAAGATCTTTAAACATTAAAATTATTTTTAAATTTAAAATTTTACCGTTGTTTTGCTTCTGTTTGTTTCTGAAGTTCATTACATTTTTCTTTAATTTCCTCAACTCTTTCTTTTACTCTACTTCCTTCTGGGTGATCATTCGCTATCGAATCCAAAGTTTCAATAGTTGAATCAATCCAGGAAAAACGTTCGGCAAGTTGAGATTCCAAAGCAACAATAAAATGACCTAAATATTATGGATTTGTTGGAGGATAAATGATTTTAGGATTGAGGTTTTCTATTTACTTAAATTCATTCAAACATTCTAACTCTTAAGTTCTCTAATAACTACCAAGTTCTCTAATAGCAGCCTCAGCAGATTCTGGACTTTCTCCAGCTGTTAACCCATCCAATTGTGCTTGTTTCCCAGCTAACCAACAATCAATTTGACCAATTTGTGCAAGAATTTTTTGGAAAAGAAGTGACCGTTCCAAAGTTTGTTGTTCTCTTTCCCAGTATTGGCGTGTTTGATGTTCAAGTGTTTGAAGTCGACGTTGAGCTCGTTGAAGATCGCTACGATGTTCTGGTTGTTCTTGTAATAGACGTTGACAAAACTCTCGGAGAGACTTAAAATCGAAGAGATTTTGATTAATAATTTATTCTCAAACTCGAAATTCCTCATCTCTCGCCCCAATTTCTGCAAGTCTTTCAGCATGTCTTTGAAGTGCTCTTTCAGCCTCAGCTACATTTCTTGAAGGCGCTTGCCCACTCATTTTTGTCCTAATTGATTGTGCCCATTGATCATTACGCCTAACCAAATCAAGAAAATGATGTAGAGAATAAGTCTGTTGAAGAGCTTGACGTCTAGCATTTGCTAATTCTGCCAAACGTTGCCAACTAAGTTCTAACTTTCGAAGAGAGTCTAACACCTTTAATAATTTAAATTATAAAAATTTATACAAAAATTATTACAACCGTTTCACGTAAAGGTGGATCCTGTGCCAAAAGTAATTTTGCCTGTTCATCATGTTCATTCAATTTCCGGTGAATGGCAGACATATCTCTTCAAATTGGAATTTTTATAAAAAATTAAAAGCTGATTTCCACCTTTCAGCCTGATCTTGTGCTCTTAATAAACGTTCAACTCCAGCCAAATCCTTAGCCTGTTGTTCAGCAGAAAGAAGAGAAGTCTTCTCTCCAATACGTTGATTAGTTTCATCTACATCCCTATTAAAACGATGGACTTCTAATGCCGCTTCAAGTAATGCCTGATAATTATGAATACGTCCAGAAAGATGTTCCCAGCTAAAAATTAAATAAATTATTATTTGACGAGCAAATAACAAAATTAAAGAAAAACATTGAGTACTATAACTCAGTTCACAGAAATTTAGAGATCAAGAAAATCCCTTATAAACGGGGATAGGTAGTTAATTTTAAAGAGTGGCTAAGTTTTTAGATAATTAAGAACAGCTAATTTTTGAATGATAGACAATAAATATTTTCACAAATATATTTTAATGTAATAAACTCCTTTCCTTACCCTTTATTAATATCATTTAATCTAGCTATAATATGAGATGCTTCTGTATTTCCTCCTTTTGAATTAATCAATCTATTCTTTGCAAGTGTATTTGCATCAATTAATGTTTTCTCGTCAACTCCTTTATGAGCTTCTTTCAATCTATTTATTCTGAAATTTATTATTTAAACAAATTTCTTTTCAAAGAAAACATACAAAGTTTGACAATGTTCAAGATCACCTCCCAATTCCTCTGCTTGCACTAAAGCTTCTTTGTCTCGGAGATATGCCCCAAAACGGTCAGCTAATTGCTCCAATTCAAGTAAATCACGTGCTTCTTCTAATGCCGCGTCCAATGCTTTAGACTGGGCCAAAAGCTGATTCCAACGTTGGAAAAACTCTTCACAGCGAGTTATCTGAAAGAAAGAAAAAATCTCTTGCATTCTTATTATCCAAAACTCACAGCTTGTTTCACATCAGCACCTCGTTGCCGAACATATATCTTCTCTTTGTGTGCAAGTAACCTTTCTAGTCGAGGCGTATTTGCCGTTAACTCACTTTGAAGAGCTTGTTGCCTCTTTAAACGTTCCAATTTGTTTGTTAATTGGCCGCTATCATTAGAAGAATTAAATGAAGCAACTTGTTGAGCTCTAAAACTTTCTTCTTTTTCTATCAGCCAGTCAGTAAGATCAGCCAATTCTGCTTCAAATTGGGC